GAACCCCGACGCGCTCAGTCCCTGGGCAAAGACGAGTTAGTCATCCGCTTCCTCAGGGGAGCTAAGAGGATGAACCCTCCGCGCCCCCCTTCGGTTCCTATCTGGGATTTTTCTATAGTTCTCGAAGCTATGAAAGCACCCCCGTTCGAACCGCTCGAGTCTGTGGACCTAAAATACCTCTCGCTCAAAACCGTTTTTCTGACGGCTCTGTCCTCAGTAAAACGCGTGGGGGATCTTCACGCGCTCTCATCCAGCGCCGCGTGTCTCGAGTTTGGTCCGAATGATTCTGTTGTCATTCTCAAACCTAGACATGGCTATGTCCCGAAGGCGATTGGTACCCCGTTCAGATTATTTCCCTATCGGCTCTGCCTTCATCCGATAGTGAGCGCGACGCCAATCTCCTCTGCCCGGTGCGGGCTCTGAGATTGTACACTACGCGCGCTGCCGCGTTCAGACGCGCTGAGCAGCTTTTCGTGTCGTTTGGGGGGCGCACCAAAGGTCTGGCCGCCTCTAAACAGACACTGTCTAGATGGATAGTAGACGCTATCGCCTCTGCTTACGCATCTAAATGCCTGCCCTGCCCTCTGGGCATCAGGGCGCACTCCACTAGAGGCATGGCCTCATCGTGGGCATGGTCCTGTGGAATTTCCATTCATGACATTTGTGTGGCCGCGGGATGGGCCTCCCCGTCCACTTTTGTCAGATTTTACAACTTGGAAGTTCCCGCCTTGCAGGCAAAATTACTAGCTGTCTAAACGACCAGCTCCCTAAGAAGCTGCATTACTGGGAGTCCCTCACACAACCGGTTCGCCCCTTGTGCTCTCCTTAAATGCTTATACTCTTCATGTGCCCGCTCTGCCGGCCTCATACATGCTTATGTATACACTTCATGTGCCCGCTCTGCCGGCCTCATAATACATTCACTCCACGTTAAAATCCCCCGGTATCTCCCTGGGATTCATGAGTGGATTCATAGCGCGCACGGCGTTGACCAGGTGTTCCCGCAGCGTAAGCTAGCTTACGCAATACGAGAGAACCTCTCGTAAGAGAACGAATCGGTTACCTAACGTAACCTCGGTTCTCTCTAGAAGAGGGAACGAGTATTGCGTTCCCGGCCGTGCTTGCGCTACTAGTGTTTCGCTTCACGCTGAAATAAATCAACATATAAGCCTGGGAGAGACTGTTATATACACCATGGCCACGCCCATTCTGGCGGGCCATGACGCAATGAGCGCGCGGGCGCCTCTCATTGGAAGCGGGTTCAGCCCCGCTCTCCCATAGGCTTAAGCAGTTCTCTCTGAGCGAACCAATGAGCTGCTAGCTAGCCTGCTCTAGGTCTGCCGCAGAGGAACTGCGTTGTGTATGGATACAAATTATGAAATAATTTTTGGCTTCAATATCTCAGCAAAGATGAATCTTTCCCGCAGCGTAAGCTAGCTTACGCAATACTCGTTCCCTCTTCTAGAGAGAACCGAGGTTACGTTAGGTAACCGATTCGTTATTCTTCCTTCAGCGATGCATGGGAAAAGTGAACCTCACATGACATCACAATGCTCTGTACTGAATTGAATCACCTTGAGATTTTTTGCCGGCTGGAATCCAAAGAAATCAGTGAGTTGGTTGTGGGAAGCATCTAGTATGATGAGGTGTGGCATGTGACTCACGCAGGATAGATCTACCAGTCACAAAACATTAGGCAGAAAGAGCAAGAGAAAGATGGATGACAAGCATCTGCACAGCTGAGATTATTTGTCCCGCTTCCAAGCAACCATGAAGGGCACGGATGAAGGAAATTCCGGCAAACATTTTCAACAAGAGGATATTATCCGCATTAGCGGAAGACAAATATGAGCAGGTTCGAAACATGACAGCAAATTTCAATTCACCATATAGTTTGCTTTTAACACAAACAATAAGCTGGTGTAAACCTACCTTTGATTTTATTGTAGGGAAGCTCTAGCTTTTGTAGATAGATGTAATTGCATAAAATGGAGACATTTTTCAAGTCTCGCCCCTGTGGCCAAACACAATCAGAAATTCAGTTAAGGTGGCAATAAAATGTCATCCGGTAAAACCCTGAAACTAGAGGAGAGTATGGCGCATTAAAAAAGGATGTAAACTAATTTGGAGGCCACTTCTGTTTCTCTCCAGCGAAGTCATGCAACTAAACAATATCAGTGCTTCCAGAAAAATATATTAATATTCTACCCCAGGGCTCTCTCTCGAGTAAGCCTGGGAAGTTTTATTATGGAAAATATCAATTGTTGCATAGTGATGTAACATTCTCTGTGTGTGTGTGTGTGTGTGTGTGTGTGTGTGTGTGTGTGTGTGTGTGTGTGTGTGTGTGTGTGTGTGTGTGTGTGTGTAGATCAGATTGTGGGGAGCAAATATTCCCAAATGGACAATAAAACCACTTATATTGTGGTGACCAACCAATAGAAAACATACTAAATAATATCTTAACCCCTTTAACAGTCAAAACTGTGATTTATACCTATCAAAAATCTATTAAAAAAACTGCTCAGTTACAGAATTAATAAATATATAAATATATATATATATATATATCATATTTTATTAATTCATATATGGTCATGTGACTGTTACACAAGCCATGACAAAAATTAACATGGATGTGTACAAATGCATAAAGGTTTGTGTGAGGGTTTGGTTTAATTGATAGAAAATGTTATTAAGTCAGTATAATAACATTACAAGGCAATGGAAATCTCACAATGACATAAAAAACAAAAACAAATATGAATGTGTGTATGTGTATGTGTGCGTGTTGATCACTCACTGGCACAGAGAGGCATAGGTAAGTGTGCTGGAGTCCTGTAGCAGACGGTCCCAAGTTGGACAGGCCTTTAAACACCTCGTCCTCCGTCAGTTCACCATCATTCTCCATTAGAAAAGAACAATTGAAGAAAAGCATAAAGATTTTAATGATGGCTACTAAGAGTTAAGTATAGAATATATGAGTAAATAACCATATTTGAGGGCTGTTACCTCCATTGTTGTTGTGTGTATGACTGTGTCCCCTCTCTTCTTTTGCAGTCTCTATGGTTTCCTGTCTCCAGAGAGCACCGCTTATTACTAGAGGAAGGAAGGAATCTAACATGTTCAGCTTAACATAAACGCCAAAGATGGAATATTTGACGCCATTAATTACTAAAACAGCTTAATTTTTTCCTCCTAAATGGATGCAAGTAAAGCCGGACTTTCTGTGAGAACTGGGAGCACGGTTGAACTAATTTGCACGCGCATCGGTTGCCTGGTAACCATGCATAAACTAAAGCAGCGCAAGCGTTTTGCACATGCGCATCAATGGAACGCTACGATTCAGTTATCTGACTCATGTTGTCAAAACATGATAATATAAATACAGGAACACATTTTTTGTTCATATTATACAGTCATAGCTTGTAAATTATATAGGCCAACGTAAGTTATAGAATATTTACTTTTTATACAAAAAATATATTTAATACAAAATGTAATCTTATATTTAATACAAAAATGTGTGTATAGTATAGTGTGTGCACAGTTTTATTAGTATATATACTTTAAGAACTTTGATAGTATGAAAGTAAAACTTGGCAAAGTAATGTTCAGCCTTTTTTTCTGTTATATTCCTTTATTTTTATTTTGACATTTACATTGCAAAATTCAGTTCAAATCCAGTAGTCCAGGGCTGTGAAAGGCTCCTCATGATGAAAGACTTTTAAGCAATCAATTGAAATTTACAAGCATGTACAATCCCTTTAGTGAACTTCTCAAATGTTATTAAATGCTACACAACAAAATACATTACTAAAAAAAACAAAGGCATGAAATAGTGTTGATTCATCAGAACATTGTGCAAACCCCATTATATTCTGTTGCAGTGAGGTCTGAATGAATATTATAGTTGAGGATGCATGTACAGTATAACGCTAAAAGGAGTGCTTGAGTCAACATTGGGAACCTAATAGCACTTAAAACACATCTTCAGTATCTTCAGTCTTTAGTATGACTCCTCTTACTAGACACATTACAGGCATTACAAAATAAGGTAGACATGACATTTCTAATGCCTAACCATTCCTGTAACACATCTTCAACATCCAAACAGGATTTTTATGCTGTGTTTCTCTCTTTGGCAACCTGGTGGCAATTATTGATTCAAGTGGATGAGTCATTTTGATGGATTGCTCGGTTGGCTTCCTGCTTAACGCCTGTGTTCTGTATCGATGGCTTTCTCTCTCATTCTATTATTCATAATTAATGAACTAAAAATAGCCTAGAACACAGAGTATGAGTGATCTGTATTTTTTTGTGCAAGTTTGAGCAATGAGCCGTGAATAAGACAAAAAGATCAGATCCAAATATAAGTTTTAGTAGACATAGTCTTATATCAACTCTTAGAAACCCATCTGTTTAAACAGCCAAATAATCCACAGATCCAATGATGAAAGTGTCATTAAAACTTTATAATGTCACAATCAATGTCTGTGTCATAATGATGACGGGCTTATGTGGAATAAACAAACACACACACACAGGTAGGGAGCAATGTAAGAAATGCTAAATGGGTTTAGCAATTCCCATTTCCTTCTCTTGAGAAAGAAGAACAAATAAACAAGCGGCGGATGAGGGGTTTCTTTTTTGCCTGATAAAAAAGCCTGGCTTTCTAATCTGGCATCTGTTATTCCAGACACAGGCTGCGGGCCGGGCAGGGAGACGGAGCGCAGGAAGATCTATAATTGAGAGCAGCGGTTTGATAAAGTAAGAAAATGAGATGAAAATGTCCCCAAGCCACAGTGAGAGAATCCTTCCTCTCAGTCTGAAAGGTGTCGTCTGGTCTAACCAGACCAATACATGGGATTCATTTATTAGAACCTTTCTTCTGCGAGCATGTGTGTCTGTGTGTACATTGGTGTGCGGAAAGCCCTGGTTTCCCCTGGTACTTTACAAATTATAATATATATATGCATAAAAAAATAGAAAAGAAACAAGACGAAATGAAACGGCCACTATAATGTTTGCTTGAAAGTGTGATTGACTCAAAGCTTGTGACAGTAACGAACGGCAGTCCCTTTCAGAGCATTGGTGGATTTAAGTTTAAACGTGCGACTCTAGACCGTAGTGATCTTCTTATCCTTGGTAGCCTGTTTAATAGCAGCCTGTTCGCATATGATCTCTTTGAGGCGCTGCAGCCGCATGTTCTGCACGGTCAGGTCTCCCACGCCTGTCTGGCTGCGGTGGAGGAGACTCAAAGCATTGATGTACTCCAGCTCTGTGTAGCGCACCCCTTGATCAACCACCAGGTTTAGCAGCTCGTCCGCTGTGTTGTACAGCATCTCATAGTACTGCCTGCAGAGAAACAGAAGGAAAGAGTTTGTGTTATTTCATGAGTGTTGCTGATCTTTTTTCAAGGATAAACTCATACGTTTTTGCATTTTTCAAAAGTTTTTTTAATGACAATATAACAGTTTTATCATAACTCTGTGATATATATTCATAAACACTTGGTGTATATATGGTGCAAAGCATTTTCATTTAACCAGAAAGAATCCCGCATTGGAGTTTGTAAAAACAAGATAATAAAGATTAAATAAAAATAAAAATTTAAATCACCTTAAAATAAAGTGTAATCAAATGTTAAATTGTAAGAATATAAGCATGGAAGTATTATCAAATTAAATGATAGTTCTGTCAACTGGGCCGAAACTCTCTCACACTGTCCTTACTGTTCTTTATTGTGAATTCCTGCATTCACAAAACTTGTTAAGAACATCAGACATATTTTTACACAGACCTTTTGGCCTAAACATGCTGTTGACCAGCAGGATGGGTAAACGTACATTAAACATTAGACTTATAGTTCAAGGAGACACTTACACATGAGTATGCATACACACACCCACACAAAAAGGGCTTACAACTTCTATTTCTGCAGCAGAGGCACATTTGTAACAGGGGTGATAAGAGCTGAATGTGTTTTGACCCCATCAGAGCAGACGACTCCTCCAAATCTCTCTCTCTCTCTCTCTCTCTCTCTCTGCATTACTCGGGCACACAGAAAGGCCTTAGCCAGCAGGACTCTCTCTAACTCCCCTATCAAGCAGGCACACTCCTCCAGGTGCTCAGAGACTTCTGGCTGCACTCTAAATGAGCCCAAGAGCCCATTTTACCTCTCACTTTAAAGGTGCTCCGTACAGAGCAAACAGTGGAAGAAATGGCCAATTTGAGTCTTTTCATGATGGAGCACATGCAAATTTTAAAGCCATGCCAGACATCATAAGGGCTTGAGGTGATGAACTTCTGGAGAACATGCAGCTACGTATCTAGATGCTTTGTGGCTGTGATCTTTACCATAAATGCACTATAAATTATCTTTTTGATGTTGTAAACTAAAATAATTGGAGTACATATCTTACTTCAACTTACTTGGAGCCTTTCTACTTCAAAATGTCACATGTACTTGCTGTTGCTTTAATTATTTGTGAAATTTACTAGCAATTTGTGAGTGAAAGCAGAGCATCTACAGTATTAGAAACAAAAGTTCAATGAGGTTCTATAACCTAACATTCTTGAGTCAATTTTAAAGAACACTTTATGCCAAAATGATCTATATAAGGAGAAATGTCTTAAATAATTGCACAATACTTTCATGTTTAATAGCTGTTTAATTCATAAAATTTGATCAACATAAAACTCAATTATTTAAAAATAAATCCATAAAATAAATCCTAAAATATTCTACAGAACCTTTTCTTCAAAGGCCTTGATATACTTCAAATGAAATCAAAGAACGAACTGGCAACCATCTACAACATCCTAGCATTGTGGTAGCAAACAAAAAAAAATCTAAAAGTATAGCTGAAATTAGACCAACTTCACTTTTGCCGTGTACTTGCTGTTTAAATAACCTGTTTAAATGACCAACAGGGATATGTTGTTTTGGATACCACAAGACAGTCCACTTGCTGAATAGGGTGCGCTAAATGAAAGACAGAAACAAACATGCTCAAACATGTCACAGATCAGCTTTCTTAAACCTCGGTGAAGAATTCTCTAAGAACTTGGAAATAATGGTGTTGCCCTTGCGCCTATAAACTGCTGAGCTTTAATGCTGCAGATTAACACTAACATGGAAAATCGAATGATCACAGCATATTCAGCCAGTAAAAAGTACAGATTCAACCCATAAGATGCTGAAAAGCGTGCCGAAAAGTGTGAATGTGAGCACAAGTGCACCTGCAGGACAGAGAGAGGGCAGTTCCATTAACCCCTATTCATCTCTGACACTGAAAAAAACACAGCCATTTATAACAGGCCTGACAGTACAGTGTCCCAGTAACCCTTACTGTGCCAGGGCGTTAATCCACCAGACCTGTGCTGTCTGCTCATTAGGGCTCAAAGCAGGACAGTCTCATATACTGTACAGCACTTCATTTGACAGAAAACAGCCACCTTACTAGCATGGAAGACTTAAATGAAGATTCAAAATAAAAAAAATAACATTTTAAACATAACCCCACTTAAGGGGTATAATATAATATAATATAATATAATATAATATAATATAATATAATATAATATAATATAATATATACCTTGCTCATCGAGCAATTTCATGGGTTTTTAAGTCAACATAAAAAGTTCAGCTGGCTATTTGTGTGCTTCTAAGTTTGTTTGTTTGCTTGATGGGCCAACTATGTCATTCTCCACACTTCATTTCGCACACATTTAAAAGCATTTAGCAAAACCGTGGTGAGTTGCTAATCTGATTAACTCTTGGCTTTTAAGACCACCTCCTTTCCTTTCCTCTCCTCTCCCAATCCTCTCTCCCATTAGAAGATAATAAAGAGCAGGAACTTCTCACACATAGAACCTGCACCTGTGTGTGTGTGTGTGTGTGTGTGTTTTCTGAGTGCCATTAAGTTTTAATTAGACAGGTTCTGTGTGTACAGTAGTGCATACAAGGAGTATTAAGCAAATTTATGATGCATACGGCGAAGGACGCTGGGAGATGTATGTTGGCACGAAGGGAGACAGTGAAAAAAAAACCTCAAATCAGCACAATTCGTTTCCTCCCATTTCCAGCATGTACAATATTAAAGCCATTAAGGGCTGCTTCTGTCAGCGCATTCTCAGCAACACATTAGTTAGTGGCTGAGAGAGAGAGAGAGAGAGAGAGAGAGAGAGAGAGAGAGAGAGAGAGAGAGAGAGAGAGAGAGAGAGAGAGAGAGAGAGAGAGAGAGAGAGAGAGAGAGAGAGAGAGAGAGAGAGAGAGAGCAGGCAAGATGCCCAAGACGATCCTCTCCATCAAACAGAACACGCATGGTCGTCACCACAGTTACAAATGCCAATGCTTTCCATGCAAAAGTGCATATCAGGCTTCTTGGAAATTCCCTCCTGACAGGTCTGATTTTCAATTTAATGGGAACATTTTGCAGGCAAGCTGCTCTTTCATCAGCGTCTCTGTTTTTAAGTGAGGTGAGACTTTGAGGATGGTTTGACCTGGTTTACATATGAGAGAACAACTGGACAGGATAGCAGTCCTGGGATAGCAGGTGGAATAGGCTCATAAATGGTGCATACACTGTGAATTGACTGCTGTAACTGTATTGAGCTGGACAATATTTTACAGCTTTCAATTATAGGAACCATCCTTTTTATCCTAACAGCGTTGTCAAAATGATTAAAAATATATAAGATCTTTTTTAAGTGGATGGAAAAAAGATCTAAAACACAGTAAGTAAATAAATAAAAATAAAAGTTTTATTTCAAAAAGAAAATGTGAAAAAAATTAATTTAACATTTTTTTAATTATAAGCGCCATTACATGAATATATAGTAATAAATAGAAATAGTATCTACATATATTTTACTACTTTTTTTAATGCATAAAAAATGCTCCACAGAGGCATTGTTGAGTATTTTTGAGTGATGATGTAAATGAATAATTGTATGAGAGTTTATACAATAGATTCCCTGAAATAAACCAAAACCTAGAAAAAAAACAACACCTAAAAATCATGGTAATATTCACAATGGTGCTTAATTTTATCGGCATCAAAATCAACATTAATAAATTATGAATATTGGATATATCGCCTTATATTCTGGTCACCTTTGCTAATCATGCTGGTATCCGATGGGAGTTAGACTGTGTGTGAAAGCTAATTTCCCTGGCATCTTATTTCCTAGAACAAACAAAAAATAAAAATATAGAGGAATATATCTATATAAACATAATAAACAGAAATGGAGAAAAGCCTCATGTTACTCGCACACGCATACACAGAAAGACCAATGTGCTGTCAAGTGCAGCTGGCGGTTTGTTTTGTGGTTATCGGGAGCACAGAGCAGCCGTGGTGTAAACAGTCCAGGCCGTCACCCTGACATGCTGGCTAAATGTCGTTTTTTCCAGAAGCCTTTACAAATGGCCTCACAAGACAGGTGCTTTTCCAACAGCTTGACCTCTGACCCATGCATGTCAGTCAGCCAGTCTCTGAACTGTGAATTTTCTTACAAATTCCCCTTTCCTTCCTGAATCAGAGAGCATGTTTTATATTTCACACTGGAATAATGTGATCAGCATGGCTGATTTTTTTTTTTGTAAATGTAATATACACTCACCTAAAGGATTATTAGGAACACCATACTAATACTGTGTTTGACCCCCTTTCGCCTTCAGAACTGCCTTAATTCTACGTGGCATTGATTCAACAAGGTGCTGAAAGCATTCTTTAGAAATGTTGGCCCATATTGATAGGATAGCATCTTGCAGTTGATGGAGATTTGTGGGATGCACATCCAGGGCACGAAGCTCCCGTTCCACCACATCCCAAAGATGCTCTATTGGGTTGAGATCTGGTGACTGTGGGGGCCATTTTAGTACAGTGAACTCATTGTCATGTTCAAGAAACCAATTTGAAATGATTGGAGCTTTGTGACATGGTGCATTATCCTGCTGGATGTAGCCATCAGAGGATGGGTACATGGTGGCCATAAAGGGATGGACATGGTCAGAAACAATGCTCAGGTAGGCCGTGGCATTCAAACGATGCCCAATTGGCACTAAGGGGCCTAAAGTGTGCCAAGAAAACATCCCCCACACCATTACACCACCACCACCAGCCTGCACAGTGGTAACAAGGCATGATGGATCCATGTTCTCATTCTGTTTACGCCAAATTCTGACTACCATCTGAATGTCTCAACAGAAATCGAGACTCATCAGACCAGGCAACATTTTTCCAGTCTTCAACTGTCCAATTTTGGTGAGCTCTTGCAAATTGTAGCCTCTTTTTCCTATTTGTAGTGGAGATGAGTGGTACCCGGTGGGGTCTTCTGCTGTTGTAGCCTATCCGCCTCAAGGTTGTGCGTGTTGTGGCTTCACAAATGCTTTGCTGCATACCTCGGTTGTAACAAGTGGTTATTTCAGTCAAAGTTGCTCTTCTATCAGCTTGAATCAGTCGGCCCATTCTCCTCTGACCTCTAGCATCAACAAGGCATTTCCGCCCACAGAACTGCCGCATACTGGATGTTTTTCCCTTTTCACACCATTCTTTGTAAACCCTAGAAATGGTTGTGCGTGAAAATCCCAGTAACTGAGCAGATTGTGAAATACTCAGACCGGCTCCTCTGGCACCAACAACAATGCCACGCTCAAAATTGCTTAAATCACCTTTCTTTCCCATTCTGACATTCAGTTTGGAGTTCAGAAGATTGTCTTGACCAGGACCACACCCCTAAATACATTGAAGCAACTGCCATGTGATTGGTTGATTAGATAATTGCATTAATGAGAAATTGAACAGGTGTTCCTAATAATCATTTAGGTGAGTGTATATTGTTTTGTCTGGTCTTCACTGCAGCATAATCTGCCAATGAGAAAGAAAGAGACTGTCTGACCCAGATGCAATGTGACAACAGTACTTTTTGAGAACTTTCAGGGTTTTGTGTTGCTCAGGGGCGGGTTTATCCAAAATAGATTATTCCAAAATAGTAGATGGGATTTTCTGCATGGAAAATTAAATTCAGAACTTCTAAACTTCTAAATTCTAAAGCAGAACTGAGTTCATGTAAAGCCAGGTAATCAGATTATAACTAATGATTTCAGCTATTACTTGCCATTTTGTGTACATTAGACAACAGATAAACTTCAGCAGGTAGGGCTTTACTCTCTGCACTCCCATTGGTAGTTGCCACATTACATCATTGCTTATTTGCATAAAGTTAAAATGCTATTTATCTTTGCCTATGTATCTACACTAAAATTCAAAAGTTTGGGTTTAGCACGATTTTTTTGTTTTTAAATTTTCAAGTCTCTTTTTGCTCACCATCAAAATCTTTTTTTTAATATATTTTAAAAATATATTTTTCCTGTGATGTCAAAGCTGAATTTTCAGCATCATTATTCCAGTCTTCAGTGACATGATCCTTCAGAAATTGTTGGCTGATTTGCTGCTCAAGAAACATTTTTATTATAATCAATGTTAAAAAATGTTTTGTCAAAACTAGATTCTTTGATGAATAGAAAATTCAAAAGAACAGCATTTCTTTGAAACAGAAACATTTTAAAACATAATGAATATATCCTTATTCTCGCTTTTGACCAATTTAATGTGATAAAAAAAATCCTACTGACCCCAAACTTTTGAATGGTAGTGTACCTATGTAGTGACTGAAAATGCAGATGAACTGGGTTCATACAGATGTAAGGAGAGGTTTTGGAACAATTTGTCCTCAATTCGATCAATCCATGATGAAGAACACATTAGTCTCTTGCCAGATTTAGGTGACGTTGATAAGACATTACTGAAGCACCTGCAGGACTCTGGGACATGGCCTGGCTCAGTCTAAGGCTGTGAGCAGATGGTGTGTGTATGTGTACGTGTGTGAGCATGTAGCGAGAGTAAAAGCACTCTGATTTTGCTTGGGGACTGGACCAACAACCAGACGCAAGGTCATTTCAATGAAAAACTACTAGTTAGGTTGTTTACTCTTGATTTAAACATCAAAACCTCTGGCAGTAGCCCTGTGCAATCAAATTACTCTGTTTGTACTGGCTTAAATAAATAAATGTGCTCATATTCATGTTTTTAGACAAGCTCTGCAGTGTTCCTGACGGCATGTTTCTCCTCACTAGATGGCACTGTGACCAAAGCCTGTCGCAAGAGAGGAGAGCCACTGAGTTTGGCCACTGCACTGCTCAGCTTTAACTCAAATCGATGGTTATTACTGTGTCCTTGGCCCAGTCGCCCACAGCAAGCATTCAAATGGGAGGGCAGCCAACGATTCCCCTTTTTCCTCATGGGCCTAGCTCCATCTCCCAGCATCCACATATATGCTTCCATCTCTCTCAATGAATCCCTCAACACAAAGGCATTTATACACACTCAAAGCTGGATGTAAATGACAGGGGTACAGCTGCAAGAGACTAGTGCTATAGTGCTCCTTTATTATCTTGTTTTCCAAGCGGTTTATGAGGATAATGCCAATGTATTCATAAAGAGGTTTACAGAGAGACGCTCTCTCTGCCGTGTGTGTGTGTGTGTGTGTGTAGGAGGGGTTAATCAGAGGAGCCTTGATAGAGTAAACAATGCACTGTAATTCCAATCACCACCTGTACCACCCATGCATCACGTGATATCATGTATGAGAGAGTGAGGGGTCAATAAGCCAGCACTGTAATAATCATGCAAGAAATCCGCCGGGTATTGATTTGCATTGTTTGTACAGAAAAATGCATATTACTCTCTCTAATTTCACAGCTCTGACAGTGATCTTCACATAAAAATGAAGAAACATCCTGTTAATTATATACAGACTGGAGAGAGATGATATTTATTAACTGATCCTTTTTCTGTAAAGCTGCTTTGAAACGAAATGTATTGTGAAATGCGCCATACAAATAAATGTGAATTGAACAACAAAGTAATTTAAGGTTACACTGCAAAGTATATAAAAGTGTGTGTGTGTGTGTATGTATATATATATATATATATATATACAAACACACACACTGTACCGATGGTATCAAAGGGAAAAACTGCCATGAAGATATTTTAAATTTTATCTCATAATGTGGCAGCAGGTATATTAGGCTGCTGTCACTTTAAGACCTGACACACGGATCCATTATACTGTTACACATGCGTTTTCTTTCTCAACTGTTTACGTTCACTTAAAACATGACTGCTTGTGTGTACGTGAATACATGCATTTTGGCAGTATTTTGTGTGTATTTGACTGTTTAAGCGCAATAAGCAGCGAAAAAAAGTAAATCTAGTACTGAGGCAGCTTTCTGTGAGCGCACTTTGGGTGTGAGCACAAAATCTGCGGGAATGAGTAAAATTATGTGTAATACACGCAACCCCACGCTGAAATTCAAATCCTCACCCTGTAACCAACAATACTCATCCATAGATAATGAAACGAGTGAGTGAGGGGAGGCGAGTTTGTGTGTCAACTCGCTGTCTAAAAAAAAGGTGTGAAAGAGAGAAAGTGAAGCTGATATTATGTATCTACGGAAAATGTTTTGAAGCGTTTCAGATATTTCAGTATCGAAAAATATATATTTTTGACAACACTACATTGCACTTTTGTGTGTGGGTGTGTGTGTTTGCATTCTACCTGGCGAAATCCAGATCAGCCTCGCGTGACATGGTGATGTTGGTCAGGTTCTGCTGGAGCACAAAGATATTTCTGCACATCTTCTTGATGCCGGACTCACTGATGCGCTTGAAGTACTGAGCTCCATTAATCAGAATGCAGGAGATCAGGTGACCCAGACCTGCACAGAGACAGGAAGACAGTCAGAAAAGAAAGACTCCTTCAGTCATCAGCTTCCTGTTGAGGCAAGAGGTCACTCTCACCCTCAAAGATATACTGAAACTTGTGCTGCTGCAGGGCGGCTCCCATCACTTCCTCTATGGCACTGATGTCTTTATTCAGCTTCACCACCAGGGGGTCGTAGTCCATGCTGGCTGCATTAGCCACGATGGCGTAGTTGCCTTGCTTTGCCAGAGGGATCAGATAATGGAAACAGTGGACCCTGATGGAGCACAGACGACATGCACGGAATGACAATTATGAGTTGAGTAAGATAAGAACTTTCCTGAAGCTTGAGATATGACTTGTTTTAACCCACACAGGATTTCACCTTAAAAACGAACATTTTTCACATGAAGTAGTCTTTTCATCTGACATTCCTGGAAAACCTCCATTAAGATGTCTTTGATCATGTGAACTAATTAATTTAAAATTTGGTATATTTTGTCACACTTTTTATTTTAAAAGGGAGTTTGTATCAGTGTTATTTTAGCATCATTCATTCATTTGTTCATATTTTGAACTTGATTCAATTTATTTTAATTGAAGTTAAAAATGTAGTAATTTAGTTGTGCTCAAGCTACGGCCAGCAGCCATATCACCCTGTAGCCCAAGACTGGTTGCCCACTGAAGCTAAGCAGGGTTGAGCCTGGTTAGTACCTGGATGGGAGACCTCCTGAGAAAACCAGGTTGCTGCTGGAAGAGGTGTTAGTGAGGCCAGCAGGGGGTGCTCACCCTGTGGTCTGTGTGGGTCCTAACGCCCCAGTATAGTGAATGGGGACACTATACTGTCAAAGAGCACCGTCCTTCGGATGAGACGTTAAACCAAGGTCCTGACTCTCTGTGGTCACAAAAAATCCCAGTATGTCTTTCGAAAGAGTAGGGGTGTAACCCCGGCATCCTGCCCAAATTTGGCCCAGTGGGCCTCTGTCCATCATGGCCTCCTAATCATCCCCATATATATATATATATATATACTAATTGGCTTCATCACTCTGTCTCCTCTCCACCAGTAAGCTGGTGTGTGGTGGGCGTTCTGGCGCACTATGGCTGCCGTCGCATCATCCAGGTGGATGCTGCACATTGGTGGTGGTTGAGGAGATTGCCCCTTTCTATGTAAAGCGCGTTGAGTGCCGAGAAAAGCGCTATATAAATGTAATGAATTATTATTATATAAATTTTTGTAATTTTCTATTAGTAAAAGAAAAATGTCAGTATAGTTTTTAAGTTTTCAATAATAAAAACAACTTTTTATTACCGTAATCATTTTTTTCCAAATGAGTACATCTCTACATGTTGTTCTGTTGGAAAATTCATCCTCAAGATAAATTCACAAACAAAAACCTGAAACCATTTTTGAACGTGTGCATTATTGTTATTATGCAAGTAGTGTTAATAGTACTCTAGACTGTCTTCAGAGAAACAGCAGATGCCGGTGGTAGATATTTTATTCCACAGCTTCACTCTATAAAGACTGAATGAACTGGGATGATGGAATGTCCTGTGAGCAGGTGCATGTTTGTTTGTTTGTGGCTACAATCTATGGGGTGTTCATGGCCTAATAAACCTGCGTATAGGTGCACAGATAAAGAGTGTGTTTCTGAGAGAGAAGGTGAGATGGAAAGGTTTCCATAATGGCCTCCAACAGACCTGCAATAAACCTCCCTTTTTTATTATTCACCATTAGAAAAGCTTTAAGCGAAGATGCCCGCAAAAAGCCTGCATCCTCTTCTTCTTACCTTCTCTTATGGCTTAATTTACCCTCAAGCACTGTCAAGGGAAATTTGCTTGATGGAAAAAGTCAATAACGCATAGCATGGGAGCCGCCAGTTATTGTTTCCAAATCATAAACAGGATCACACAAGCTAAATGACATCAGAGAATAATCGGGCGAGCGTGAGGGAGGGCCTGTGGAGGAGGGTACGGAGAGTGAATGACCCAATGATGCTCTTTTGCCAGGCAGACTCTTTGGAAGGCCTAAAAATACAAGCCGTTTAACACTGATGGAGATGATAGTTTGTAGCTGTGTAGAATCAGTCTGCAAATCTGCAGAGTTTAAGTCATTGTTTGTGTGAAGATACCTTAAGGTGTGCGTTTGGAGTCTTCTCAGATTGAGATGATAAGGTGGGACCTACCTGACCTCCAGATGCAACACCAGCAAGCAGCGGTCAGCGATGTCCTGGAAGGATCTGGAGAGGTCAGTCAACGTCTGGAGTATCTGTTCTCGGCTGCGAACATTCTCTGTGTTCACTTGAGCATCTGAGCCTGGGGATAGACCTAGAAAACGACAAAATAAAAGATAGTCTGAGTAATAAAAACATTTATAGCCATTATACCAACAAGTGGAAAGACTTCCCAGACTTTCTAATAAGTAATGCCAATAAGTTCAACAAGTATGTAGATGTGGTATTTGGGTTTCCACAAAAATGAACGGCTCCAAAAAGTGGTTTTCGCAGAAGAACCATTTTGGCTCCATTAAAAACTCCTTCAGTGAACAGTTCTTAGTGTGAAGAACATTTTAATAATCTAAAGAACCTTTTTCCACTATAATGTCATTTTGTGCAATTGTTCGTCGAACAATTTACGCTAATAAAGAACTTTTATTTTTAAGAATGCCCGGCCACTTGCATAATTCCTAAATACTTGGAATAAATCATGAAAATCATGAATCATTAAGCCGACAACCAGAATAGTATGTGTACACTGAAAAAAAAATTGGATTTACTTTAAAAGGATTTTCACTCCGAAACTGATTTCACAAATAATTACAAAGAGACGGCAAGTAGGGCTGCACGATTTGGGCCAAAATGATAATCACGATTATTTTGATCAATATTGAGATCACGATAATTATCACGATTATTTGTTGATTTTAACCAAAACAAATGTTATTGTCACATAGGCTAATTATAACTGCTTTCACATCCATATTGTGCTATACATTCCTGCTAATGTACAACTATGTGCATCAAAATAAAACAGGTCCTCTTATTCACCAAAATTCAGTGCATCTCCTTAAAGAATAAATAAAAATACGCAGACACACTCGGTATCTCTCGCGCGCTGTCGCTCGCACGAAGACACACTCGGTATCTCTCGCGCACTTTCGAGCGCGCTCTTGGACACTCTGTCTCTCTCGTGCGTTGACACACTCGGTCTCTCTCGCGCACAGGGGCTCATGGAGGCACGTGATCAGACAGTGGTTTAGGAGCGCTAGATTGGCTTTGCAACAACAACAAAAAACCTTTGATACGGAGCGTTCTGAACGGAATGACGCATTTTAAATATCGCTCGATCACGCGAATTTGGTCGTGGGAAGCCAAAATCGTGATCGTGATTAAAAATCGATTAATCGTGCAGCCCTAACGGCAAGTAACAATGAATTAAACATTACATTTTGAATTTTGAAGTAAAAAGTATATTTCTTGTAAAATACTTCAATAATCGTTATTTTATTTACAACTTAAAAAAACAACAACTTTTTTTACAGTGTAATCAATGATACTCAAGCACACATACGGCCACAGGACGACTATCAAACAGAAAAGTTTGTGCGTGAACGACACTAGGCGATCAATGAGGCACGAGAGATGGTGATGGAGACTGACTTCCTGTAACTCCCTGTGGCATGTCTGCACTTCTGAAGGTCATATTCGCACACACACATATAACGGTGTGCAGAGAAGAAGTATGTGTGTGTGGACGTGTTTGCTTTGATGACGGACGGTTTGCTCACATGGCCCTGGGTCCCTTGTGTTTGTTCAGGAAAATGGCCTCAGCCATTGAGCAATTATATATACACACAGACCACTGTCAAAAGACATTTGGTAGTTAATTGCTGTCTTTCTATAACTCTTAGAAGGAAAAAGGTTTGTGGGAGATAAGCGTGTGTTTGGCTTGGAATGATTAAAAATGCTTGAGGACAAGAAGAACAAATAGAGCAGTGATGACCAGGTGGTAGATTATAGGCACTGCGCCACCAAGGACTGATCAAGTGGGTAACAGAACTGTCAGACCAGGGTAACAAGAAAAGGTTTTATTTGGGCGGGAAATTCAAACTGAGTACCAAATAAGCAATTACATTTTGCCATCCTATAATTACATTTAAAGAGATGTGCTCATTAAGTTCAACCATCATTTACTCACTCCCATGTCCTTTTAAACCTGTATGACCTTATTTCTTTTGTGGAACACAAAAGGAGATGTTTTAAAGAATGATCATGCTGCTCTTTTTCTTACAATGAAGGCAGACAGAGATACGGTATTTGAAGACATGTCACACCAGGTTTGATGCTTATGATGCCAAATGACATTGGTTCTTGACTGTCTCATAACCAAAGTTGAATTTGTAGAGGCATATATACAAGAATGAGGTTTAACAGAAACGGCAGACGCTAAGATTATAAGTGAAAATGACTTAAATGTCACTTAGTTCCTCACAAAAATCATATAGCTTCAAAAGATTTAAAATATAGCATGCATATGTCAGGATGAGGGTAAAGGGATGAAGCATGGGCTCAATTGTGCAGAGTTTATTCGTTTTTTTATTATTTTTAATAAAAATAAAACAAACAACAGAAACTACCCAGTTGGGGAAAAATCATGACCAGCAGATGGACTGAACTGGGCAGAACGAGGCAGGGCTGGAAAAGGCCAGGCACACTGACAACACATAACGAGAAACATTAGACAACGAACTGGCACAAGACTGCAAACACGAGTAGAATACATAGGGAGCAAACAAGGCAGGTAACGAGGGAGAGCAGGGCTGTGTCCGAAATCGCCCCCTATAGGGAGATAGCCATTTGTGATAGTATCCGAAACCATAGTGGACATTATCGAGTGCACTCATTCAATCCCACAATGCACTGCAATAGCAAGTGTACAACCAATGTATGCTCAACGGCTAGAATACACATAATGCACTGTGACGGTAGTGCCAAATGAATTCCCGCTTCTGACCAGAAGATGGCATCCGCAGCTGAATCCTCCATCCATCCACTTTTCAAACCGCTGGTCCAATGAGGTACAGCGAAATATCATACAGGTATAAATTCCTATTTAATTCCTATTAAAAAGTTTAATTAAGGTTTATACATCCATGACAGAGTTCAAGATAAATCTTTTCATCTTACTACTGGAGCTGCTAGTTTCCTAAGTTTCAAATGATTATTAAACAGCAAGCAAAAACTATGCAAAAGAGGCAGCCCTTCCAGCACACTCAGTGTCCGAATTTCATTCACTCCTTCAAGTGGACTATGTTAGTGGTGTAATATAGGGAATAGTGAATGAGGGTATAGGGAGCGATTTTGAACACAGACCAGATGGGGTAACTGAACCAATAATCAGATAACAAGATGGGCGGGGTTAAGACAATACGCTGATTTCACGCAGCCGCCATTTTGAAATCGTGGGAAGAACCCCGGAAGTACAGATAGACAACAATGCCTTGAACTACCAACCTGAAGCTGCTGCCGCGATTTACACGGATGGATGTTAATATCCAATATAGGATATGTCTATAGTTCGTTCCTGCTTCTTTTTTTTACGTTCTGAATTATATATATCAAAAATAAGTTTATTTATAAATGAATTTCACTGTATATAGTCTAAAGTATGAAAGAAATGTATGTACATTTTTAGAATAACTCATTTCTACATTAAACACAACAATCCGCCATCGCATTCGCGACTCTCCTATGATTAAAGGCGACACTTCCGGTTTTCTTCCCACCGGAGCGATTTCAAAATGGCGGCTGCGTGAAATCAGCGTATAGACAGAAGAGCACATGACACAGAGAAACAACTCGGAATCGCACACTCACCATGACAAGACGATAGCAGTGTCACTAACCCAAGAATAAACAGAACCAAGGAAAGTGACAGAACCCTGACAATAAGTCGAATAATGAATTTGAATAAATCTGTATACTGTATAAACATTGATTGTTTATTATAATATATAATATATAAATACACTCACCGGCCACTTTATTAGGTACACCTGTCCAACTGCTCGTTAACACTTAATTTCTAAGCAGCCAATCACATGGCGGCAACTCAGTGCATTTAGGCATGTAGACATGGTCAAGACAATCTCCTGCAGTTCAAACCGAGCATCAGTATGGGGAAGAAAGGTGATTTGAGTGACTTTGAACGTGGCATGATTGTTGGTGCCAGAAGGGCTGGTCTGAGTATTTCAGAAACTGCTAATCTACTGGGATTTTCACGCACAACCATCTCTAGGGTTTACAGAGAATGGTCCGAAAAAGAAAAAACATCCAGTGAGCGGCAGTTCTGTGGGCGGAAATGCCTTGTTGATGCCAGAGGTCAGAGGAGAATGGCCAGACTGGTTCGAGCTGATAGAAGGGCAACAGTGACTGAAATAACCACTCGTTACAACCGAGGTATGCAGCAAAGCATTTGTGAAGCCACAACACGCACAACCTTGAGGCGGATGGGCTACAACAGCAGAAGACTCCACCGGGTACCACTCATCTCCACTACAAATAGGAAAAAGAGGCTACAATTTGCAAGAGCTCACCAAAATTGAACAGTTGAAGACTGGAAAAATGTTGCCTGGTCTGATGAGTCTCGATTTCTGTTGAGACATTCAGATGTTAGAGTCAGAATTTGGCGTTAACAGAATGAGAACATGGAACCATCATGCCTTGTTACCACTGTGCAGGCTGGTGGTGGTGGTGTAATGGTGTGGGGGATGTTTTCCTGGCACACTTTAGGCCCCTTAGTGCCAATTGGGCATCGTTTAAATGCCACGGCCTACCTGAGCATTGTTTCTGACCATGTCCATCCCTTTATGGCCACCATGTACCCATCCTCTGATGGCTACTTCCACCATGTCACAAAGCTCTAATCATTTCAAATTGGTTTCTTGAACATGACAATGAGTTCACTGTACTAAAATGGCCTCCACAGTCACCAGATCTCAACCCAATAGAGCATCTTTGGGATGTGGTGGAACGGGAGATTCGCATCATGGATGTGCAGCCGACAAATCTGCGGCAACTGTGTGATGCCATCATGTCAATATGGACCAAACTCCCTGAGGAATGCTTCCAGCACCTTGTTGAATCTATGCCACGAAGAATTGAGGCAGTTCTGAAGGCAAAAGGGGGTCCAACCCGTTACTAGCATGGGGTACCTAATAAAGTGGCCGGTGAGTGTATATTGCCTGTGGATATATATATATATATATATATATACACTCACCGGCCACTTTATTAGGTACCCCATGCTAGTAACGGGTTGGACCCCCTTTTGCCTTCAGAACTGCCTCAATTCTTCGTGAGGATTCCGTGAGGATTTTTGAAAAAAAAAAAGCTGTTTATTTAAGCCAGATCATCATTTTAGTGAATTTGGAACTGAGCCTTTCATGAACAGCATGATCCAGACATTCAGAGTGTACTGCAAATCCAAAAGAAACCGATGCTGCACGCCAATTAACCTGCAAGTTTGAATTATGCAGTTAGTCTGAATTCCATCCATGTGTGGTTGTCAAGTTTTGTGTTTGTTAACACAAGTGTGCTCATGTATACACATACCAACTGTCGGTGAACGAGTGAGTGCAGCGGCATGTGGCAAAGCATGGCTGCTCTGTTTAAAGTCCGTGTGTGCCAGGACCCCCTGCCCCAGACCCCCACTGGGGGTGCGAGAGAGCACCTCTGAGCTCATCCCGCCACGATGGTGTGATCAAGGTCGCGCCACATGGGGCCGCCAATTTTGAGTCACAAACAGAGCGCTGAATGTCTTCTTCTGTCTTCCTTTAACTTAAATGTCTTTTATCGGAGGCTGTACGCTGCGTAGATGTGTGAGAGTTGGGCTCATCCAATTATTTTCAAATCCTATCTCGCCTAAGCGTCTGTTCGATGCCATCTGTGAGAGGGTGGCACTCATAAAGACTGAGAGAGAAGGAGAGAGTGGAGATCAATCATTCGCTGATACCCTTCTCCACGACCACATCCCACTGGCAGTCAGGGTGAAGCTTAAGCCCAAAAACTGCTGTCGAAAAACTGCATCATCTCACCGCACACCTCCCACAGGCTGTTAAACACAGCGCTCTAATAAACAAGATATCTGACCTCTGCGGCAGCAAAGGGAGAGGGAGACGAAGAGAGATTAAAAAGAGAGACCGAAGCCTCATGAATGATGCATGTGATTGGCTGAGAGCGTTAATTATTCGGCTGCAGTAACAGCAGTGACATCTGCATGGGGAGAGCCAAGCTCCGTCTGCGGACGACCTTTGACCTCACTGCGTCAGCACTTTGACTCGCTGGCTAAGCCTTCAGGACAGAACTTAAGAGGAGGGAGAAAAAAAAAACAGGAAAATTGAGTAGGTGTCTTCGGTAAAAGCTATTCCAGAAATTAAAGTGTGTCTGTGTGTATCCACAGACATTATGCTAATAGATGGAAAGCAGACCTTTACTGTCGGCGATAAAGGTACTTTTTAAAACTCCAAAAATGAACAGATCGCTTGACCCAAGAGTTACTCTTTCTTTGGCACTAAAGGCTATGAAAAGCTCAAAGCTCTGCGTCTGTTCAGCGATATGAGAGCGCTGAATCTCCCGAGAGCTATAGGAAGCTGGATTTGGAAGCATGTGAAAGGAAGAGGGTTGTTTGGACAACAGTTCTGCCTTTTGTCTGTCAAGCCTAGATAGGTTTAAGGTGGTTAAAGGTCTTGCTCAAATGCACGAGGGTGATGGTCAGAGAAAAACTCCTGAGATGAAACTCAACCTGGGGCCAAAGAAAGTCAGTTCACTTGGCAGCTATCTTGGGCAGCTATTTTTTAGTCACTTTTTTTTTGCTTCATTTAATACTTAGGACAGAACGAGAGGAGTGATGTTAGTGAGAATTGCAATCTGATTGTAGGTAGCTGGGCTTCCGTCCACATCATTTTATGTGAAATTTTTATGTGAAATATGCATAAAAATGCATAAATTAGCTCGAGGCAGAAAACATGTGACCAAAGAAATCGTTCAGAAAAGAAAATTATTGGATCAGTATCATCTCACAGCATCTCAAATTCATTCTGAAATGCCGGCGCAAAAGCCTGTCATCAAAATGATTGGCCTCTATTACCTTCAGACACGTTGTCGCTCCAGACGTAAAGCATCTACTGCTGATAGCTAGCAAAAAAAAGTGTTTTTTCCGCAAGCTCTGAACTGCTAATAATTTACTATAATAATAAAAAAGCCATAGCCATGGCTTCCACAGTGGCAACAACATCCATTTCTATTTTATGCCAATTTGCATGCATTTTTTTTTCTAGGACATGGGATGGAAACTCTGCAGTATTTGCGAACTGTTGTTGTGGTATTCAGATTTTAATTTACAGCATTCGCATACTGCAAATCAAATTTACAATTTGCATGTAAACAGCCCATCTAATATTTAATCTGAATGTACAGAAGATATCCTCACATCCAAAGCGCCATCTTTCTTTACTACACAAAAGTCTGAGAGGGTAAAAAATACAAATAGTGTTAATAGTGTGCAAAAACCCCAGACAGACCGACGCACACAAGGAAGAACATACAGAAACACACATGTCCTGAGGAAACTGGGCTCTGGGCCCAGATAGATTTAGGGAAGATTACATGTTATTGAAAAGATCCCAGATGAGCGATGAGACACAAACTGTCTTCATGACCAATCAAAGCCCATCGATTTCTACCCAAACAGTCGGTGCAAGAACGTGTCCTAGTGCCAAATCAAATTTAGATTAAATTAAGATTCAACACCATGACGCTAAAGAGCAGGATTATCTCACGCATCTTATCGCAGAGGTCCGAGAGTTTGTTTTAGCAGAGGTTGGAGGGACGGAGATTGAGCAATGCCACGGATTAAACTCACTGAGACAAGGACAAGGTCTCATTGTCAGTCTGACAAACCGCCGGACATTCTTTGTGGAATACTTCTAGCACATAAACGCCACATCAGGGTGGTCACAGGTGCATAAAGGATGTCTCTTCCTGAGCACGGTGGGCCTGCGTTTTAGAAAGACAAGGGCAAAAGAGCTCTTTCTCTCCCTCTCTAGGAACTCTCTTCACTCGATCCACTTCAAAGCTTAGTCTCTGGTGGTGAGACGCTGTTTAATCTCCCCCACATTACACTGGCAAACGTGTTTTAGTCTGCAAGACAAGACAGGAGAAAATGACTTGTTCATACCTGACTGGCTCCATAATATAAAATCCAATTTAAGGGGGGGTTACAGAGATAAGGGTTTCCGTCGGCAACGGTCCCATCAGCTCAGCAAACACTAAATAATGAACAATGCTGAAGCTGTCCCACCATGATAAAACACTCCATTACGGCTTCTGCACAGAACTAATGGTAATTACAGCACGTCCTCCACCGCGCTCTTATTGAATTTTTATCTGCTCTGGACGCGAGTCGCTCTGAAGCAGTCTTTACCCCAAAAACAGAAATAACAATAGTTTTAAAATAGCTTATTGACAGATTTCAGTGAAAGAAGTGGAGGAAATTCGGAAGGTATTGTGTGAAGTTTCACCGATGTGACGTCAAACATCCAGTGCTGAAGTTTCATTGAAGTCTAGGAGTAAAGCTCAATATTCTCAATATATTTTTTCTAGTCAATGTGACAATATGTAAGAATAATTTAAAAAATGATTTACACAGACATTTTCCGGCTTATCTTTCATGAGGCTCAATCAGTTCTTCTGATGAAGTAATAAAATGTATTTATTCAGTTCTGATAAAGTGATGAGGTTCAGAAGTTGGAGACACTGGGATTTAAACCTGGAAATGCACAGTTAAAAAAAAAAAAAGGAGACATAGCAAACACTAAGATTACTCAAATTTGTCAGTATTTCGATTCAAATTATCACTAAAACGTTTGCATGATCATTTATTCTGTAAAGGAAAAATAATAAATTGGAAAACGTTTTGACACAATACATGGCGACACATTCAATACACAAACCTCCAGCCAAACATAGACAGTAAACACACTCACTGCAGCTCCGGGGCAGGTTGCTGAAGAAGCCCCTGAGGCGGGTGGCGAGCCACTCCATGCTCTCCTGCAGGTTAGCGAGAGCCTTCAGATCACTGACGTCCCGCAGAATCTCATTCTGAGGAATTAACTTATCACCCAGATTCCCTGTCAAAACCTCAGACTCCTTGGCAAATGCCGCCCTGTGAGAGACAGAAAAATAAATAATGGACATTTCCAGCATTAAAAAAAGCCTCACTTGTGTTAAATCATTATTCCGTATGGTCTGCTGAATGTGGCCATGGCGTCGATACAGATTGATTTTAATAACAGCTCAGCACAACTGAACTGTCTGTGGTGGACGTTAATTAAACCAGTGCTTAGAGGTGAAAAAGATTAAACCGGTAAAGGTGAAGCATGTCATTTTTTCATGTTCAAATATTTATAGACCAGTTCATTGAGTCATTTAAAAAGTCACTTTCAAAAGCGTAAATTAATTGCTGTTTTTGGAGACATGTCCATTTTTGACTCCACAAGTACTGAGCGTTTGGGGTAGGAAAACCTGTTTGTCCAAACGGATGGGCAACAGAAGTATTTGGCAAACTAGTTTGGATTTATTATTTTTATTGTTATTAAATTTGCGATATTACACATTCTTCCTCTAAAAGACACTTTTAAAGGGATAGTTCACTTTGAAATTAATTTTTGGTATGTTTTAGCTTACCTCAAGGGCATCCAAGATGTAGGTGTCTTTGTTTCCGCAGTAGTTTCAATTTTGATATTTTTAGGTGAAACCATTCTTGTCTATCAGTCATATAATGCAGGTCTACGGTCACCACCTCAAAGAGCAGGCACAGAGAAGTCCAAATTAAACATGATTTAATGACTCATAAATGTAAGTACACATTGATGGCCTAAGACACGAAACGAGCGGTTTGTGTGAGAAAAATGAACAGTATTTATATCGTTTTTACCTCTTGTAACGCACAGACCGAAGCGCCCGCGCCCTCAGATCACTTGGACGTGGCTGTGTTTACAAGAGGTAAAAACGATATAAATACTGTTCGTTTTCTCACACAAACTGCTCGTTTCGTGTCTTAGGCCATCAATGTGTACTTACATTTACGAGTCATTAAGTCATGTTTAATTTGGACTTCTCTGTGCCTGCTCTTTGAGGCGGTGACCATAGACCAGCATTATATGACTGACAGACAAGAATGGTTTGACCTAAAAATATCAAAATTGAAACTACTGCGGAAACAAAGACATCTACATCTTGGATGCCCTTGAGGTAAGCTAAAACATACCAAAAATTAATTTCAAAGTGAACTATCCCTTTAAAAAGAGGTACATGAATGAGCTAAACTGAAAAATAATTTTTGCAATTATATTTTTTTTTTAAAAGTTTGTTATTCTAATATTCTTCATTTAATCGACACAACTGAAGTTGGAAAATATATATTTTTTGCAATTATCTTATTATTGCAATTATTATTATTTTATTTATAGTTTTGCAAATAAGTTTTTTTCAAAAAAAGGTTTCACTTTATTTTGATGCTCCCTTTGACATTCATTTGACTATAAGTAACGTTGCACGTACGTGTTAGTAGAGTATTAGTAGACTGGTAGGGTTAGGGTTAGAATAAGTTGACATACTTGCCAAGTTACTTATAGTTAGTAGAATGCCTGTTGGGGGACCATCACAATAAAGTGTTAGCAGATATTAAGCAGACAGTCTAGTGAAAGGAGAATTAAGGTGAACAGGGGGCAGAAGACGTCTAAAGGGGAAACGAAATGTCGCATGTCCTGGTGGGAAGGTGCGATGAAAATATCTTAGTGTTCTGGGCACAACTGTTGGCACAGCCTCAACACTGGCCAGATGCCCACACCGGTGCTAATGTGTACTTAAAAAAGGCTTTCCCTTACTCTCATTCTCATAACCACAGCAGCAGTTGAGGCTCAGCTTCACAGGTACATTCAGACGAATGACGCTGACGCAAATCTGTAAAGTCAGTATTTTCTTTGACCTCCTCCTCTACAGGTCTGTGATGAATGTGGCAGAAAAAAATCCACATGGCTCATTTCTGAACGCTGCTCAATACTTTAAGATAAAACGCAGCGTCTATTGAACGGAAGACTTTTTAACAAGTTTTTATCACTCTGTATAGCATTGCCATACATGTGGCGTAATCCCTCTTTAGCTGATGAAACTGTCAAGGTCATTTATATGATAAAAGCCTCCTGCTCGCCGTCTGCGTTTAGCTTCAACAGGTCGGCTAGATTGGATTTTTCTGCCCCACATAACCAGTTCATTTATTTATTGTACAATTGCAGGCCATGGCACATCCAAACTGACGGAAGAACACTTTGAGGCCAATTTTGATAAAAATGGATCCAATCACAGTTTTCCTCATACTTGTGTCTTCTTTAATTTAAGTGTGCACTTGAGAGGAAAAGAGAGAAAGGGAGGGAGATAGAGTGAGCAAGTGAATCCAAAACAGAATTGCGCGTGTGTTTGGGATGCTGGAATGTTACGGCAGATAGTGTGATTGCCTCCAGTTGAATTTGTTCTTGTTCAAAGATGTCAGCTGAAGCTATAAGGGCTAGATTTCATCCTTTGAAACACAGGACTCAAGCAGAATACCAAAATGCATTGGCGTCTGGCAAACAAAAAACAATAACCTTCATTTTCGACGAAATGCAATTTTTGGACTTGAAATGGATCGAGTACATAAGTGTGTTTATTGATCTATTTACAGGACGTAAAGGCCTGCAGATCTGTGTTACACAGCACATGACCGGCGTCTGTGCGCTAACCTGCTCGGATGTGAGCTGATAGGAGTTGTCCGAGTGTGTTTGTATATACTGTGTGCTCTGTGATGAATCTGTGTGGAGAGCTCACATTGGGGACAGTGTGCATTTGTATTGTGTGTATATTAGCGTGTGCTCTCACCGTGTGAAGTCCTCTTCCTCTTCTCTCTTCTGTCTGAGCTGTCTGGGTTGGGTCATGCTGGCCCAGTTGGGCAGAGACTGCAGCAAACGGCTGATGTCTTCATCTTTAGCCCAGGATGCACTGATGGTCAGCTTCTCCTCGCACTGTACAATACCCCTACAACACACACACACCACACAATAATCTCAACAACACTTCAGGATTAAAATAAACTGATTTAATTCAACTTTGGGAACATGGAAAATTGTGAGTACCTTTTTCACTTTCAGCCTTACATTTTTTAAGTCTGTAAGCATTGAACATTAGATTTTTTTAATATCTTTTTAATAAATATTAAATATAATCTAAGTAGTCTAATAATGCATAATTTATTTGAAATATACATCTTTTGTAAGATAAAATACTTTACTGTTACTTTTGATGGTTTTATTGCACATTTGCTGAATAAAAGTATTCATTAAAAAAATCACTGACCCCCCACCTTTTAACGGCAGTGTATATGTTGTGTGAGTTTATAGTGTGCACTGGGAGTTAAATGAGAAACAGTAAAAGATGACTCGGTTTCATTTTATCAGGAGCACACCATATTTCAATATGAGATTCAATGAGACATACTATTGAATTTGCACTGGGCTGAATTTGATTTCTTGGAAAACATTTGTACATCTGTGCTGGGAATAAATAATAAAACAAATAATGTGTTTTTTTAAAATGTATGATATAAAAAATTAAAGATATTTATTATATTATATTATAACAGGAATACAGCCAGATTCATATACAATAAAAAAAAAATATTATATATTATATTAGCTCCACAGTTCAATGTGCTTGTAAACGTGCTAAACACATTATATAATACTCAGATGTTAATGTACACTGCAATAGCTAAAAATATTATGAAATTAATCTACTGATTTGTTAAGTGCTATATAATTATTTGTTAATGACTTGTAAATGGAAGATATAAAGTGTGATGAAACTCTGCGTAAGGAGCTAAATTAGGAACAAAGTCTGTGATTGGCTGAGGGATTAAACAAGCTCCATTTCACTCCATGTCTCAAAAAATTCTAAAATATGTAAATGAACCATAAGTTCAGATAAATCTCTTCAGTATTGCATAAGCAGGCCATTAAAAGTGTGCACTGGATGACAGCTGAACACGGTTCCACAGAAGAGTATACAGAGAGGCAGACAAGAGCGCGGATGAATAAACTGTTATTGTCTGCGATGTGTAAAATGATTGAACAGATCATGTAGAATGAAATGCAGTGCGTTTCACTCATCTTATGGCTGAGAACGAGGGAGATAGAACAAAAGAAAGACAGAGAAGGAGACAAAGAGAGGGACAGATTGGTAGCATGTGATTATTGTGTGAGGAAACGGCTGCCTCTGCACTTTCTACCCATGATTGAGCTCAGTCCAGATCCCTGCTGACTTACACATATGTGATCGGACACACACACATACACACTTCACTTAAACACATGAGCAGACCAATCATCCAGTGTTTCTAATACCAAGGTTTTCAGACATCCGTAGACCCCCTGGGGATCTGAGATACTGGTACTGCAGGGAGTATATTGAGAAGCAAAACAGGTTTTCCTTTATTTTAAAGAAATGTCTAACTATTAGAATGAACATTAATGAATGATCTAAGGCATTATGTAATAATAATAATATAATGTTAATATAATAATAGTAATATAATGTTCTTTAGAAATTTTACATCTGTCAGACTAATTTAAAACAGACACTTGTCTTTTTGAACTATTCATTAAAAGAACCAGCACATAATAGTCATTTGTTCAGGACTATTAACAGACTACACTGGCAGCGCTGTATGTTTTTAATTCACGAAGAACCACTTCATAAGAGTCATTAATTCATGAATCAGAACTACACTGGTCACGTTGTATGTTGTTGTTGCGTGCAGCCTGCCAGGTCAACCCAACAGAAAGACATTTCTTGCCATTATGTTTTAGTATCTTTCTATTGCATCACATTCAATACAGACTACAAACTCGCATTCTCAAATACGATTTTGTGTGTCACTTAGTATTATTACCTGTAAGCAGAATTGCAGATCTCCTTGTACTCCTTGAGCTTGTCACAGACCATCTCCAGGAACTGGTTGGAGTACGCACTGAGATCCTGCATCAGACTCATTAGATCCTGAATTGACTTCTCCACAACCACAGTGCTCTGAAAACACACACAAACACACACACTCAATATAATACACTGTGAAGTCAGGGCATCACCTCTATTCGTTTCTATGAATCAGACGATTGCTTTAGAAACTCTAAATGTCGCTGTTGTTAAGGTGCGGGGGAGGTTCTGGTCTGAGGTCAGGGTTGAGTTTAAGGATGACCAGTGCAGGCGCCCTCTATAAAGGACCGTGATAGACTACAGAATGCTGCAGTTTATCTGCTCAATTGCTCGCTTTTGAGCAAACAAGTCAAATAGCCCGAAAAACAAGAACGATCAAAACCCTCCATTCACCTGTCAGAGCAGGAGAACCCTGCTACGGTAGAAGAAGCACCACGATACAGAAACATATGACCAGGGATATCACTTTTATGTGTGGCAATGACAAACCTCCACTTGTCCACATCATCCTTCAGGCACTGCGTCTTCCTCTCTACCATTTAACGATTGTACCCTGCCATCAAAGCTAATGATGCTAATAGCAAAAGAACTCTCCGCTCAAACAGAACAGAAGCCCGGGCACAAAATAGAACCACATTTTAGCACTACGAAGGGCCAAAACAAAAGAGCATAGACACCAACATTTGGCTGCATTTCTAACGCCAGTAGTGACTGACTGAAAGTGACAGCGAGTGTTAGCACGCCATTGGCAGGAGAATAGTAACGGTGTTGCCTACCGAATCGTAGTTTACTTGTGGCACTGGCACAAATGCACTGTTTAATTGGACTCAGCACTAACTCAATCCGACCACATCATGAGCCATCCTACACAGCAGGGGGCAGCGGCGAGTGCCCCGAGTAGTTTGTTCTTATTAGCGCATTGCTGTACATTTGGCGCACAATCTGCTAATACACATATCACTGCCTGCTGCTTGCGCCCCCTGCCTGAGCCCCAGGGGCGGAGAGCGAGGTAATGATCCGTGGCACTGCCCTGGCCCATCAAGCTCTCTAGCAGTAAACTGCACCAGGGAACCGAGGGGGGTGGGAGAGAAACGACTCAGCGGGGGAACGCTAGCCTTCAAAGCTATGCCCCTGGTCACACTGGAACAAGTCCATCAACGCCATAGCGTATCCGATTATGTGTGTGAACGAGCATCTAGGAAAGGTTGACATGGTGACTGGAAACTGAGAATAGAACATATCTCTCAAAAATGTTCAGCATTTTGATGATAATCGATATATTTATCCAAATGGAGAAAAATATAGTGACATGTATTTATGTATATGTGTGTATATATGTGATGGTATTAAAATACTGAAAAAAAAAAGTATACTGTGCACATTTTTGTGCGCATTTTGAATACTATCATACTGTATAAACATACATACAGTTAAAATATTTCTCCATATTAAAAAAATATATATAAAAAATTGCACCATCATATACAGTACACATATCTCCATATTTTTCACCATTTATAAATATTATCTATCTATAAATATTTCATATATATAGAGATCAAAATGTAAAGTATACATTAAAATGTACAGTGTTTAAAACAATAAAGGCTTGCTTTAAACACTTTTTCACAAAATGAATGTAAGGAGGAATTATATATTTTCTAAAAATATATTATTGATATGCACCAATATAACAATATATGCGCAATTTTACCAACATATATTTTTTACTTAAATCATTTAAAAATGCAACACAGAGACTTCTATGGGCATTTATGAGTAATGACCTAACCGATTCATGAATCAGACCCAAAACTACTTCATGTTAATGAGGTTTAAAGGTTCTCTAAGCGATGTCGGGTGACGTCACTTCTTGTTGATCTTTAAAGTATTGTCAAACAAAACGGAGGCTAGCTAGACCCTCCCTCCTCCTCATGCGTGCACTAACCCCCCAAACCCCGCCCCCAAGTCCTTCTTGTCGGTGATTGGCTGGAACTGTTTGTCATGTTTCGTAGAGCGGGTTAGCCCAGTTTGTTTTTGTCGCAGTTTGTGGAGCATGGGCTGTCTACAGAGATCGCGTTTCTTTACAGTGTGTTCAGGGGACAGGCAGCCAGAGGATAGTGAGGAGATGTTTGCTGTATGTGACAAAAAATGTTTTGGCCTAAAAAAACGCTTGACTTCGCTTAGAGCACCTTTAAATGAGTAAATAAGTCTTAGCGATCTCATAAGTCTGGCTGGCCATGACACGAAGAGAGATTGTGAAACTGCCGTGGCAAGTCAATAGTCAAATAAAAAAGTGCATTAAAATCATAGTCAGTGTTTATGATGTTCGTTAATTTTACATTGCCAACATAATATTGAATAGATCATGCATTTTCAATATACTGCTCACGCCTAATAAAAGCTACAGTGAATGACCAGAGAAAAATCATACAAGCTGCTGCAATATTTGGTCTCTTTTTCCCCCTCTCATTTATGAAACTCAATATTTCCCAGTAAACAAAGTCTCTAAGCTCCATTATTCAAGTAACAAATGCCCCAGTGCTCTGCGGCACATGTCTAATTCTCCTCATTTAACACACTCATTCGTCTTAGCCCCAGAAATCATTAAAAAGTAATCAAGCTCCAGAGAGAGAGAGAAAGAGAGAAGGAGAGAAAAATAGAGTTAAAGGATGGATAGAAGCCTCACAAGCGAAACAGACAGACAGACGGTGAGAGCTTTAGAGAAAAATCAAACCAGCAGAGGTTCTCTTGTCTCATCGCTAGCAAAATCCTTCCTTTCTACTTAAATATCACAGTGTGCCATGGGAGGTTTCAGATCTGTCGCTGGAAATTTCTGCATCTCCTGACCCATTCTTACTCCGCTCACACAACAGAGCACCTTTGAATTCTTACTGGAGTACGTCCAGCCACGCCAGCCTTGATTACAGTCCTCCTAAAATGAGCAGAGCCGCTGGAGGGAGTGTTTGCTAATGGCACAAGGTTTAGCGCAGTATAAATGAAAAGAGTCATAATAATGAACGCTCAGCGTGCAGTGGGACTCGACTGGTGAGCGTCAATGAGAGGGAAACACAACACGCAGTGGAGCAGAAAGAACTTAACGCACATGCTTAGGGACACTCAGAGGCCATGAATGTTAGTATACACACACAAATCACACACTCTCTCTCACAGAATGGGAAGTAAGAACCGCAAGAGTCGCAGCAGAAATGGCAGAGCTCTTCATAATGGCTGCCAATAGTATCTAAATCACTTGCAGGCAGCTTTTCCCAACAAGATGAGCAGATTCAGCTCAGCTCCACCCAAAAACACACAACGTATTGATTTATGGACATGAAGATAGTATTAATATAGACAATAATACTACTAATAATAGTGTTACGTATGGTCTGAGTTTAGTTTGAATTGTATTCCGAGTTGGTTTTGTTCTGTTTCCTGTGTTAGTATTAGTTCTGTTTCATTCTTACTGACCGCCAGAGGCAGTGTAAACACTATGGATTATCGCAGCGCCAGCTAGATAGGTCGAGAGAATATACCAACAAAGTCACGTGGCGTGACGTATGCTAAGCCCTGGAGGGTAAAGCTACAGTAGCTCAGCACTCTACCTCTTTCGCTTTCTCGCCTAGTTGAGATAGGTTGTATTGGTTGAGTGACGCGCTGTCAAGTGCAGCTTACAAGAGCAGCGAGATTCGTCCTCACAAGCTGTGACAGCGCGTGTCTACGCTCTTTCAAGGATTTGGATTTTTTCAAGGATTTGGATTTAAATTAACGGCACTTGGTGAGTTTTGTTTTTTCATATTGCTTCGTCGGTAACACTCTGTGCCTCTCGGTGCAATCCGGTGGCTTGTGTTTGCCGCGCTATGAGTTAACGGTCTCCCGTTGACATAAGTTATCTAACGTTACTTAGAGTGTTTTTTCCTCGTATCCATGTAACACTTTTTGTCCCTCGGTTCAATCCGCCGGCCATTTTAGACACTTCTTCTCTTTTTTCATAAAATTTTTGTTGGTATTACCTGTCGGTTCACCCGAGGTAATCGTTTTATTTTATTTTTATTATTTTTTCATCCCGCTTAACTTAACCTTACGGTACTATCCGAGGGTGTTAATAGCGAGTAACTATGGCTCACAGCTCGATAGCCACTGGTTTTCCACTGACTTGTAAGCTGTGCCCTAATAATCTTCTCCCTGACGACGGTCATGACATCTGCCCGTCGTGTTTGGGTGTTCAACATCTGCGAGAGGCTCTCACGGACCCGTGCATGCACTGCAGCCTTTTGCCTATGTCGGAACGACGGCTCCGTCTTGCCGAGTTAGACCCTAATTCTACAGTGAAACTAGGGCAGTTAGATGTAGCCCCTTCGCGCACTCGGAAGCGCAGAGCGTCGGCGGCAGCTGGTGCTCCCCTCCCAGCTAAGAAGGCCAAATCGCGAGATGATGAACATTCACATGTTGAGAAAGGTTCACTTTCTATGACGGTGTCGGTGCTTTCTTCAGAGATGGCAGAGCTGAAACGCCTGCTTCACTCACTTCAGCCGGTCACATCTGCTACACCTGTGAGGATGACACAGGAGGATGAGAATGTTAAAAACCAGGGAGCTGGGGGAGAGTCTCTTGATTCCCCTTGTTTTTCTCATCGTTCAGAGTTTGATGTGCTTTCTACAAGTGCTTCAGATTCCTTTTTTCACGATCATGGGGATCCTATGGATGTTGCTACACAACCATCACCTCAGGCTGTTTTCACTGGTTACCCAGCAGCAGAGGGCTCTAGTGGGGGGTCAGTTCAGTCGTCTGGACAAGCCCAGTCCTCCTCCGATGACACTTTGGCTGTGCTTCGAATGGCAGCTGCTCGTCTAGGACTTGATGAGTCACCTGTCCAATCTGCACAAACTAATGTGTTTTTCAGACAGACCACAGCTGCAACTTCTTTTGCCATGCCACCATGTAAGGATTTTGTGGCTGAATTCTCAAATGCTCTCACTGGTTCTGGTCCACCTAAGCGGCGCTCAAAGATTGCTCGAACGCTAGCATCTATGGCTGAAGCAGATTCTATCGGGGTGGGTCGTGCTCCGGAAATAGAGCAGCCTGTGCCAGCT